CTTCATTGGCACCTACTACACTGTGTTTGATAGAGACAACAATAGGGTCGGCTTTGCCAAGGCTGCCACGCTCTAGTTTGTCCCTTGCCCACCAGCAGGGAAATGGATCAGAGTCCAGTAGAGGAAGCCAGCCAGCCCCACCCTTCCACCTGCCCCACTCACACACATGCACACTCACGGCATTACTGAGCCCTTGGGAGGCCTGGCTGGAGCTGGTCCAGTTGTTCTGTTCTGTGGTTCTGTCCTTGGGTTCAGATTGCTACCCTCTTCCTGTCTGAAGGAGGCCAAGGCCCACCCAGTGCAAGGGCTGCCTTGAAAGGACCCTACTGGTTTGGTAGCTTGCCTTGTCCTGCTTCCCTTTGCTGCAGAGGGCAGCATTCCAAAGCAGGCATATGGGTCTTGGGATCCCTCCTAGAAACCTTATCTGACCTATGTCCCTCACCCAGCCTGGGGAAGACACCAGGCTCCACTGTCCCACGGTCTGTATCCTGGCCTGACAGAGGTCTGAAGATGAGCAGGAAGGAGCAAGAGGACAGAAGCAAAGCTATGAACCTAGTGTGTTACTTGGGGCCTGGCCCCACCCACCTGGGAAAGCATGCCTTAGCCTGGGGCAGAAGCAGGATGGCTGTCTGACTGGTTTTGGCTGGCCTCTGCTGCCCTCATCCTGGGCTATGCCGCTGGGAGCCAAAGTTGGTATACAAATACAGTTGTTTTGGGCCTCTTTCTTTGTGTTGGTGTGTTCTGTACTGCTTCTGAATTCGGGCCTGGGGATGGAGCTTGCTGTACTGGGGAAACCCAGTGCTTCTGAGGGCACATTCAGTGTCAAGCTGGCTGGGGTGGGGTGGGATGGGGCTAGAGCCCAGTTTTAACTTTCAGGGCCAGGCCAGCCCACAGAGGGGACTCTCAAGGCTCTGGCTTGCTGTCTGGCCTTGTGGGCAAGATGAGTCTGGGCTAGAACTGGCAGGTTCTGGGACCTCAGGCAGTAGTCAGCAGCCGGATGTGGCCTTGGCTTGAGACTAGGACAGGCCTAGAATTCTGGGGTAGGGCCTGTGTTGAATCATTTTCAGAGGTGGCCAGGCCAACACCTGCTATACTTTGCCAGGAAACCAGCCTGTCCCCAGAGGAAATGGAATGAGCCCCAATGGGTATCTAGGGCTCCATATACATTCCCTTCTCAACGGTCAGTCCTTTAGCTGTTGCTGGGTGTTAACAAGCAGCCTCCCTCCTGCCTGGGCCTCTGCCAGAAGCAGCCTTCTGCTTTCTGGGTGGAGCTGGTGTTGGAGCCTGCCTTCCTGGGGTCTTTGAGTTCATAAGTCAGAACTCCCTAGTCATGAGCTGCAGTCACTATACAAGCATTGGTGTGAGGGTTGGGTCTCAGGAGAAAGGGTTGAATGAAGGTTGAAATGCAACAGTGGAGGCAAACCTCAGTTTTAGAGAGTAGGAGACTGTGAGTCCTTAGTGGTAGGGTGGGGGATTCCTTTTGGAATCAGTAATTCTGGTGTCTTGGAACCCCTTCCCCACATCAGCATGTGCAGGATAAAAGGAATTGTGAACTTTGTCACCCTTTGGGGTTGTCCTGGCACCCTTTACCTGCTGGACAGTGGCTGCCATTGTCTCAATAGGAGAAGTTTGGGGGACTTTGTTCCAGAGCTGAGCAGTTTACCAAGGGTTGCCAGAAGGCCAGTAAACATGTGCCCAGTGTTCTCTGAAATCTGAGCAGGAGTCCCGCAGGGCTTGGCAGGGCTTCTGGAGACTAGTGTTATCAAAGGCTTGTGCACCAAAGCTGAAGACAGCTCCTCCCTCCCCTGCGGGCCTGAGGCTGAGCTGCTCTGCCAGGCCTGCATGCGGCTACTGCTGCTGCTGCAGCCACCACCACCACCACCCAGGGATGCCCTGGGGATGCCCTGGAATTTAGCTCAGGGTTCAAATCCAGTCTCTTTCAGCTGAATGGCACCCTCACATCAGCCTCCAGTCCCCGGGGAAGAAGCAGGACCCTTGCAATAGGCAGAGGTAGGGAGGCTGCCTGTAAAACCCTGCACCCTAGCTTTCTCATGATGAGAGTTTCTTCCCTCAACCCCCTGATCTAGGGGACAGTGAAGCATGACCATAACCAAGGCTAGCCCTTTCCTCACCAGCTGAGAGTTGGGGCCCTGACTCGAGCCCTGAAGCTGACTTTTGGGAAGAAGGCCCTGATTCAGCCGTCATCTTGCTCTGAGGTCCAAAGGACCCTTCTGCTTCCTGAAGTCTGAGTCTCACAGGCCAGATATGCCAAGGATAGCACCTGACCTAGATTGTGTGATAAGGAGAAAGTCAAGGGTGCAAATGCATGGAAATTTAGTGACATGGTACACAGAACAGACACATACAGGCTGGGGAGGATCTTCCTCAAATCAGAGTCAGCAAGTCTGGCTGCCAGGCCCTTGGGATCCAAAGGAGTGGTGGAGTTGGGTAAGGGAGAACTGGCTTTCTGGCACAGCCCATTTGCCCCCAGGCTCATTGGACCAACAAGGCTAGGCTCTGTTAGGGAGTGTCCAGAAGAAAGCCAAGAAAAGGAGGGAGGGGTCCCTGCCTGCTTGGAAATTAATTCCACCCACTCAATGAGTTTCTTTTTTCTTTCCTTTTTTTTTTTTTAATTCTTATCTACACTTAAGATCCACTTCAAACTGAAAATTCCTGACATGCAGAACTGAGTTGTGCCAGGGGTCGGAGGTGGGGTTTGGGCTAGGAAGGGAGGATCTTGGCATGGGCAGGGCTTATCCAGGAGACAGGGCTTTGGAGAAGGACTCAGGGTTCAGAGAGCCCAGGTTCCAGGAGACCAGAAAGAGTAAGGGCTCAGACAGCCCTGGACCTCTCTGGAAAGGGTCCCAGAGAAGAGGGCAGAAAACCAAGGTTCTTGTGCACAGGTTGGGGAACTTGAGAGTAGGGTGAAGAGGACCTACTGAGACCCTACCCCTGCATGGTGAGGTCAGGGTCCTGAGGGACGGAGGACTGTCGGGGGTCTTCTATGGTGAAGGGAGTCCATTGGGACTTATCTGGAGCTGGAGGTTCAGTTGGGGACAAGTGTCCAAGAGGGACTGAGAATTGGGGGAGACATGGAGCTGAGACATTGAGAACAGTATTGCTTAGGGCAAGTAATGGGTAGGGACCGAGAGCACTGTCAGATGACTGGAACCCAGGATGGGAGTTTGGAGGCTATGAGCAGATAGAGGCTGAGCTCCAAGGAGACTGGTGTAGGGGTCTCTGAGAGGGACCAGGGTTCAGAGCTTTTGCAGTAGCCTACTTGGCCCTGAGGGCAGTGAGGAGCTTACTGTGCAGGGACAGGCCAGCCTATTATGGGTCTGATTCTCTTTTCAAGCTGGGTTTATGATGAATAGGAGTAACACAAATGAACCAGGCTTTGGTGGGATCAGACTTGGGAGACAAGAACTGCAATCCAATGGGGCTGAGCTCCAGTCGGGGACCCAGGGGCAGGGAGGAGTGCTCTGAAGATTGTTGGTGAAGAGCAAGGACTTGGTGGGCTCAGGAAGAAAAAAGCCCTAGACTTGGGGACTTGAGAGACAGGATTGAACAAAGATGAGTATTCCATTGGAGTTTGGTGTGTTGCATCCCATTTGGGTAGGAACTGTGATCTACCATCTGGAGGCTTCAAGGTACCCAGAGACTCCAAAAGGAAACCCTATTAGGGATGGGGACTGGACCAGCTCAGACAGGGGCTTAACTAGTAGTAAAGATGGAACCCTGCTGGGAAGGATCAAGGAAGAGGTGGGTGGGAGCTTGGAAAACCGGTATTAGGACAGGGCCTCATGGAGAAAGGGCAATGATTACTATAGGGACTGAGGGTGGCAGGTGGGACTCAACAGGGCAAAGGGAGAGATTCGAGGTAAAAGGGTTCTGAAGGCACAGGTCTTGGAGCTAGTAAGTCTCAGTGGGAGAAATACAGGGAGAGGGAATCAGCCTTGGGACCAAGGTGGAGTGCTCAACAGACAGACTTTGCCAGGACCTGAGGACCGGCGAGAGACTGAGGACAGGTGGGCTGGGGTAACAGCTCTGTAGTCGGTGGATATGGGAACCACCCAGCTCATGGGTTGCCGGGGTCCCAGCTTTGCCCAACTCGCGACTCCCCGGGGTCC